CGGGTCTTTGCAAAAGTTGAAATCTAAAAATACAAAAATACGTTTACATCTTAGTTGTATTTACGAATAAAGTATTTGTGTGTAATTTCTGACTTACCAGTTAACTGAATAATCGCATTAAATACATCCAAATGGTAATTTAATATTGTAAAAAAGCAAAATTGTTTTAAATCATTGCCAGGACAGCCCGGCCAGCTTCTTTGTTGGCAAAATGGCCGCGGTATCATGATTTAAGCAATGTGAGTGACAAAGAAAGCCAATGCCTGGCAGATGTTGCTTTCTTTGTTGTTGGTCCTGGCACGTTTAAATTTGACTGTTGCCTGTTTTCCCATACAAGTGACACCCCCGTGCTGCAAGGATACATGTAATTAAATGGAAAAACATAGGCACAGAATCTTCATTACGTGGGGTGGCATGGCGTAGCGTGGCGTGGCGTGTTGGCTAATGGGGTCCCGGCAAAATGGTTACAGTCGAATTTCAGTTACCCTTTATAAAATGATAAATGATCGTTAAAGATAAATTGCATACTATTTTTCGTGTCTTATTAATCTACAGATTAAAAATTCTAAAAATACACATTCTGCGATAACGATATTGTGTCCTGTTTACAAAATATTTGAATCGCACAATATCACATAGTATTATTTTGAAAATGAAATTTCAAAATATTGTCTTAAATATATAATTCATTGTGATATTACTATACGCAAACTAAGCATTACTATAATAATGTATCAATTGAATATGATATATCATTATTTGACTGCATATATCTGCGCAGTCAAATAATAGTTCACTTACAGAGTGAACGCTTAATAAAGGAATTGCTTTGGACGAATGTTTTAAATTCATCTGCTATGATTTGCCGCTTTAGTAAAGGTGATTTTGTCAAAAAACCTCAAAAATATAAATAAGTCATATAAAATTTTCATAATTAGTTACCACAAGCAGAATATATTAACAAGTTGCATTTTTATTATTAAGTTTTCAATACGATCATTAACAAACATAGAATGTTTTGATACCCTGACATATAATATAAATAGAAAACAAAGGTTATAGAACGAGAGCTAGCAACGTCGTGAAACAAGTATTTTAAGAAATCTGCCTCTTTGATACATTTTTTCTATGCTCTCTGGAACAGCATGCGGGCCGTCCACTGCGACTACTGCGCATTAAAAGAAGATCCTATATTTTTTATTGGCCCTTTAAATTCTAGTATTGAATATAAACCGAGCGACTCTCCATAGCGCATAATAAAAGGTTCAGCCTATGAAAGCGAGGAGTCCGAGTTCGAAACCGGCTCGGGGAATACAACTTTTTTATTTTATTTTCGTTTATATTCTGATAGGAAAGTATTAAATAATTCTGGGGATTCAAAACAAATGCAACAAAAGGAGTTGTTGCTCAAACTCGGACTTCTCGCATAGGCGAAACCGTGGCTAACATAATTATCAATTCGCAATTCTCAATTATCAATTCTCATATTCAAGGCCTGACTGTTTTGATAGTTCTACCGAAGTGGTCGAGAATTAGTAGTCGTAAACAAACCAATTGTTTTCATTAGTTTCGCAACAAATCTGTGTTTTTTTATGCGTTTCTATGCTAATAAAATTATACTAAATAATTTTGAGTGAATAGTGAACTATCTAGATCCGATTCATAACATCGTACCCGCGAAAAAAAACATACTTTCGGTAAAAATTATAGTAACACCGGCGATGCCGGCTGTGTGTCCGGACTAGGGAAAAGTTGGGGAATTTATATTTACCTTTTTAGGTAAAACAGTTGTCGTTTCTTTATTTTTACTTTGTGAAATAAAAATGCCGTGACATTGTTCTGTGCCTGTGCCTTGTAGCAGCAACTATAAGTACTCAGGATCTGTCTACATTCTCTTTCCCAACAATATTAACTCTAACTAAGTCACGTCCAAAACCTACAGAAGATGATGTGCCTACAATTTTTCTAAATCAACCCTCTTATATGACTGTGCATGTTTCCATAAAGAGAAAACATCCCGATGAAAGAAAACAAGATTTGGAAATTCAGGATAAAATAAATATTGAAAACTATTATTATTATTATGAAATGGCAATATATTTTAAAGAAATTAAATGAATTGTACTTTATTTCAGTATTTTATATAAAAAAAATATCTTTATCTTTTTATTTACGATTTATGGAAATGGTTACTTGAACATCGAACTACAAATTCACTTAATGATAATAGTTAATTCTACCTGATATCCACATTTTTTAAATATGTTAGGCAAATTTTTACAATTATTTTTAATTAAACTTTAAAATGTATTCTGCCCTTATCATATGCAATACATTTTCTTAACTTGTCGATAAAGTATAGTTTTCAAATTTTTTAATATTTGTAAATTTTATCACAAGGTATATTATTACTAGCTGCTAAATACTCGCTAACGCAATTTTAGGACATGCTTTTTATTATCTGGATTTTATTCTGTTCATCTTATGCTGTTGTTTATTTCATATTAATATTCGTGTTTTAGATCTAAATTTTAATGCTTTTCAATTACTTTAACGCGATAAAAAGTTAATGTTATTTTTTAATACCTTTGTGTATAATATTTTTCATATTTATATCTGGCAAAACTATCAATAAATACTATTATTTATACAAAAACTATATGCAGTACAATATGGCACAATTCAAAAGCCCGACTATTGCGGTGACGTCACAAATCGATGTCTCTGGCCTGTATCTCATGTTGGTTTATTTATATTATTTAATACTAGAATTTAACAGACTAAATAAAAAAATATAGGATCTTCTTCCACTGCGCAGTAGTGAACGCTGCTTGCATCGGCAGCCAGACGGCCCGCATGCTGTTCCAGAGAGCATAGTAAAAGATATATCAAAGAGCCAGTTTTCTTAAAATAGTTTTTTGACAACGTTGCCAGCTCTTAGACTATTACTTATTGTTGTGATTCGCTGTTGAACCACCGTTGTCACCAAAATGTCGGGGTTCTACGATGAACCATCGTTGCCAACAATGTTAAGGAACTCTGCTAATGTTGAGATTTCTTGCTGTTGCCTATGTTGAGGATCCATCTGCTTTTTCTAATGTTGCTTTTTTTAATAATAATTTACACTTCTTCTTCTTCTTGATTTAAGATCCGTGCGATTTTCGAAAATCATGACTTGTGGTAGGTTTTTTGAGGTTAGAAAAATTATAAGAAATGCAAGGTCAATTCTGATAGGTGTTTTGAGTTTATCAGGTCTATTTACATTAGGTTGTAGTGTTATACATGAGAATATTTTTTTAATTTTTCCTATTACATTTTCCTAAATTTTCATGGATTTTCACCAAGTTTTTGAGGTTAGAAAAAAATGAGAGGTGATGGCGTAATTCTGATAGCGGATTCGTGATCAGCGTCGAAAAATACTATAAAATATGATGATCTGGTAAAAAGCATAAACCACTTTTTTTGCGTGGCTGTGTAATTTACGATATCTTATCAGTCAAATAACAAAATAAGTATTTTATATGTTTCTGGCTGAGATTGACTGATATTGGCGCACCCTATAGTGTTGCTACGAAACTGCTTCCTCATTAGTGTATATATAAAGAAAAATTTCAAAATATCTGCCGCTAATAATTATTAACGTATAGATTCCGAGGCTAGTGAATATGAACGGGCCTATCGACTTAATTTTTGGTTTGGGACTAATTTTTATCGCAATTTATGTATACTTTAAGTACAGTTATACTTACTGGCGAAAGAAAGGATTTCCGTACCTCGAACCGAAGTTTCCTTTAGGTAAGTTTATAAATTTTAAGAAAAAATATCAGACTGTTTTTTTAAAATGTGTTGCAAAAATATACCAGATAACAACAAATTCGTTGCACAAACCATTTCCTTCATTTTCAGTTATTTTAGTTATTTATTAGTTAGTTACACCAATCAAAAACTAACATACCTTAAGTTTACAAAGATTGTTTTTGTCATTGTCAAAAGTAATTTTAATAAAATTTTAATATTTAGGGAAAATTAAGCGAAATTTACCGCGTATTTTATCATGTTCACTTTTTCTTTATGTGTATAACAATAAATTATTACTAGTACTGAATATTAAAATTTTTTTAAAATTAAGTTACGTTTGAAAATGACGCTAACAACTTAAGGATTGTCGGTTTTTGACTGGTGTTTGATTGATACCTGTTCAGTTTTAATTTAAAAATCGATTTAGTTTTTCTCAAATTACCTAAAATCGGCTTGGCCAAAATTGTTTAAATTTGGCATGTGTGTTTACGAAATGTAGACCTTTAAAAAGTCTATTTACGACTTCGCTATAAAATCCATAGGGGAGCCAATATCTGGACAGTTCAAAATTTGCAAGGGATTTCCTATGTTCCCAACGACGATGCAACACCCGGTATACTGTCATAAACTGTCAAATTGTCGTTATGAATACAGAAATTTAAAATACAACTTTTTATTGGATATAGGATTAACAATTTTAGAACAAGCAAATATTTTTCTGAAGAATGCATTTTTCTTAATATATTGTTGCGTTTTTTAAACCACTACCACTGCGAACGGCAGCTTTTCATCGGAGAGCAGTCGTGGATAAGGTATTTCACTAGAGAGAAAATTAATCAGTAATAATTAACAAAAGATATATAGATATTGGGCGCCAGGCATGTACAGAGAAAGAAAACACAGTTGTATAATACTTAAAACTAATGACTATATTTATTCATGATGAATTCTGATTGTAAATAGAATTGTACAATTTTAATAATTATTATAGTGGTTATTTGTTGAGTAAAATTATGTATGTAAATAATATTAAATATGTTCTAGACTATGAAAAATACAATGCGTGTAACGTTATAGAAAATATAAGAAAAGTAGCATTACTTTATTTAAATTGTTAAATTTTATGCGATGTTAAATCTGATGTGTTGCAACCTGTAGATTCTAGAATCTATGTCTCCTTATTCATCTGTTAATATAGCGCAATAATAATATCTATAGAAAGTAATACTATTACAAGGCGTAATATAATGAAACCTAAAATCTAAATCACATTGTAACTAATGAATCGACATAAATGTTAATAATCTAACCACTAAATATAGTCTGTACGATATTATTTAAAATGTACGTTACTGTTTAAGACTGAAAATATTTTAGATGTTAAATGTAAAACTAGAACTTAAATATACACTTAGCTGTTCTTTTATATAACCTTGCTTCGAACAGTAGCAGCGTGAGGTGGTCCAGCATCTGTCGGCCAGCTGTCTGTCGGCCATCCTGTTGGCCAAAACAACAAAATGGGCCAGATTGAGGACACCGTGAATCACTACAGCCGTAGCTACTGACTAGGCTTAGAAATGGGAGTGAAGCAGCATGGGACTCAAGCTACATCCACGCTGTGGTACTTTTATGTAAGAAAAAAATCATTCTTAGTGGGGACACTCGTCCACAGGACATCTGTACATAAGATAATGTCTGCACATAAGACACTACCCGTACCTTGGACACAGTCCGTACCTTGACCCTAAAATATGAAACTCTTGTTTAAAACCAAACAAGGTCTAATAAACAAAATAAACCTACCTCGAAATACTTCCGAGGGCTCAATAAATAATAAACAACATGTCCTTTCTTCCATGTGACATTCTGGAGGACAAAAGAAAAGGGACAACAACGTGCCAGCAAAACACAAATACAAGTTGGGACATCCGTAACTCTACCCTAAAAATATTCAATAATAATATCGAATCTATAAAAGGTAATAACTCATGTTTACCTGTAGCCTCGAAATAGCAGCTGATTCAAATTATACAGCAAGATTTAAATAATCACCATTTCCAAAAGCTAGGATACAACAGAGCGTCAAAACAAAGTGAGGTTAAGCACGGAGACAGTTGACAGAAGCGATGTTGACAGCGCCTCCTCAGGGTGCAGCCACACTATCCTAAAAACGGCGTATCGGCGTAACGGCGTAATGACCTTGAATAGATTTCCAGTAATTCTATTGGCTGAAACATTCATCTGTCAGAAATTTTATCTGTCAAATTCATCTGTCAAAAATTTCAGCCAATAGAATTACTGGAAATCGATTCAAAATCATTACGCATTACGCTGTTACGCGGATACGCCGCCGTTTTAGATAGTGTGGCTGCACCAAGAGCATAACAGGGTTGTGTCGAACGATAACAGGGTTGGCGACTAGGGAACGTAAAAATTACGCGTCAAATAAACTATCCGGCCTGAACGAGAGGGAATCCGGTGATGATAGGCCAGACATCATATATTATATATAAAAAAGACATGTAACGAACTAAAAACGTTACAATATCAATAATAAAAAAAGTTTTCAGTACTTATTAGTTATTAGTTATATTAATATATACAGACCGGACCACCCGTAGTAGTAACATAGGCAGAACCGGACGAATTAGCGTATACCCGTCCGCCGGATAAAAAGCAGGCGAAAAAATGCGATAAAATAAAAATAGGTAGATATGTGATAAGAATGTTTCAGAATTTGTATTTATTCGTGTTTTAATAGCCAAAACGAATACATGGATTCTCGCGACAGTTTTCTCGTGTAAAATTTATTTTTTAAGTAAAATAATGGATGTTTACGAGTAAGTTCGTGAGAAAATTCAAATTGTAAAATAGTATTTCCAAAATAGGTCTTATCGGGATATACAAACAATTTTTCCACAAACTTTTGTAGACAGGCCAATTCCATCTTTACCTACTGTATCAAGAGTTATTAATAATTTTGAAGCACATGGGTGCGTGTTCCCACAAAAACACAAAAAGCCTGATGTGTTGATTAATGAAGAACAGGAGTTAAAGCAAGTGTTGATTTGTGCTACCGCGGATCAAAATCCCACGTTTTCAAGTAATCAAATTGCTGAGGTGGTTGCCCTGCCCACAATGCCCGTATTGTTCAAGAATATTTGAACAATACTTTTCCCAACCATTTAATTAGTGGATATGGAACTATTTTGTGGCCCGCTAGAGCACCAGATCTTTCTCCCAATGATTTCTTTTTGTGGGGTTATGTAAAATCCAAAGTGTATGGTCATAATAGGGCTAATAATCTGGATGAGCTTCAAGTAAAAATGCGAGAGGCTTTCCAAACTATTAGCCCTAATATGTTAGCCAATGTCAGACGGGGATTTTACAACGTTCTGTCTAGCACAAGAAGGTGGTCTTTTTGAACACTTGTTATAACTTTTTTTTATTTAGAGTAATATTTTTTTTTTGGGGTTTAGAGAATTTATTTATTTTTAGTTTTGGCTTGTAAACACACTCAAATAATAAATATTTAAATATTTTCATTTTAAATGTTACCTTAAGTGAAGGTAAACACTTAAAATGAAAATAATAAATACTCGGCACTCCTCGAGTCGTATTCCTAGTCTGTCATGACCGACCCGCCCAAGCACAACTGCAACTGCGTACTGCCTGACCAGCCGACTAGCCGGCCGGAATCTCGAGTACGAACGCAAAACGGGTAAACGTAAATTCGTCCGGCAACTTGCTATGTTACTAGTAGCCTGGTCTTCTCTGTATAATAATATAAATACATATATACATATACATATAAATACAAATTAAAATAGGCAGAAAAAATAAATATAGGTTTTGTGCTAAAACCTTCGGACTGGATACTTGATACTGGTCTTTTAAAAGTAAAATATCCTGTTCTAGGCAATTATCCTGAAACTGGGCTACATGGGCAATTTAACTACAGTATTGAAACTAAAATATGGTACCAACAAATTAAAAAGTTGGGAGTAAAGTTTGGAGGAGTTTGGAGTTTTGCTAATAAAGTCTTAGTTTTAGCAGATCCAGAATACATAAAGGATATCTTAGTCAAGGTATGTATAATTTGCTAATTAATAATAAATTTTTGGTTTCGAAATAAAACTATGAAATAATCATGTTAGTGGTCCGATTTAAAAAGTTCATGAAATATGATTGGGACGATGAATGCTATATAAATTATTTAATAAACAAAAGATGTTATCGTGCAAACGAGGCACTATAGGCACCATTTGTAACCTGGTTAAGCAGTAGCTCACAATTCGCAAGCGTTACTACCATAGACTTAAAATAAAATATAGACTGAGCATCTCATTCATAAATAGCTGGAACATGCGGTCAGACAATGTCTTGTTATTGTTGTGTTATTGTTTTAGGTTATTACGAGTGCGACACGAGCGATAGATAGGTTGTCTCTGTCGTAACGGTCGTTCCCTGACGACTCTGACGAGAAACACAACACTGTCTGTCGTTTCTCAAGTACACCTGAACTCTCCGTATCATAGCCGGGTATTTTTTTTTATTTTAATGAAGCTATAATTAAATTACAAATATATCGTATTTAAACTTTTTTATATTTTATTAAGATTTAGGACAGGTTTTTTTAAATAAAAGTTTAGAAAAAAACCCATTAGACGATCAAAACTATTTTTCCAATGCTCCTTGATTAAAACTTAGTGTTTTTAACAACACCATGGCACCCTAGATTGAAATTTAATATACGAATTGTTTTTAAGCGACAATGTCAAAAGTTGACATAAGATATGTCATTCTATTCAGAGTGTCATTTTTTATCGAATAAAGTAGCAATATACCGAGGGTGCCTTTAAAAATCAAAAGATGTAATCATTTCGGTGAAACAGGAAGAGACCAAAAACAATTGAAAACGTCAATCAATCCTAATTTATGTCATATACATACTAACATACAAATCTGTTTTTTTATCTGAAAAAATAAAAAAAGTTATAGGGGTGAGCCACTTTTGAGACGACCCGGTATATTAAAAAATATTGTTTCATAATGTAATATCATTTTAAAATTCTTGTATGTTATTTTAGATTCTGAAGATAATTTTAGAATAAACCGGAATATATTTTTAATAAAAACATTAATAATTATTAACAGGGTTATAATTATGATTTTGTTACAATGTAAGTAAGTAAATAATGTAATGTAAGATAAAAAAATCAGATTTTACATTTTACTAAAATATTATCTAAATAAGCGCCTTTCTACAATAACGCCACTGACGCCTAATGGGTAAATTGAGAGTTGCCTAACGGTCGAAAGTGGTTTCAAGACTTAAGCATATCGCGCACTTATGCGAAGCGCGGCGCGGCGCAGCGCGGCGAATTTTTGATGGGTCCGCTAACTTATGCACGGTTTTGCGTACGCGGTTGGTATTTAAAGTTGTTTTGAGCTGACCGTTTTAATTTTAGTGTTATCTCTATGACGGTTTGATAAAGTTGATTATATTATTTTATGTAATGCATGCTTTTTTAAATGGATAGATTTTTTCATTATTCTAAATTAAGTAGTCTGTACATTGGTAGAAAATACTTTATTTTATATGTGATGTACAAATAGCAATACATAAATAAAATTACTTTTGTCCGGGTTCATCGGGCGAAAAGCTGTTATAACTTCGAGGTGGTTCATTGAGAGAAAAGCTGTTATAATTTTTCTTCAATTTCTTCCGCATTTTTCTTCAATTTCTTCCCAAATATTGTCCCTTCTCAATTGATTATGATAATTGGGATCTCCAATATCATATATCTCTTTATAACTTTGTATAATTAAAATGAACGTTTCATCATCCATGATAAAACAATAATTAAATTACAAGTACTAAACAAACTCAAACGAAACAAAACGGCTCTTGATTAAACGTAACCTAAATGCCAATTAGTAATACATTAATCGTAGAATCCTTCATCCGAAGACACCCGAAATAGATTTCGAAAATGACCGAAAACAGAGATAGTTTCCGCAGACCACCGCGCACTAGGGCACGCGAAGCGCGCCGAAGAGAATTTCCTCGCTTTGGATTCCAGGTCTGCGCAACGAACGGCGCTTCGGCGCGCGGTGCAAGCAGTTGCTTCGCTTGAGTCAGCGGACGTGCATTATATAACACAAATTTAATCCGTTGCACGGTTTTTCGCCGCGCTTCGCCGCGCCGCGCTGCGCATAAGTGCGCGGTATGCTTTAAATGGATTATTTAAGTCAAATTTCTTGCAAATTTGGCACTGGCGAACCATATTTTATAGTTCTTGAACAGAAAAAGTCAATAAAATAATATTATGACTTAAGGACTACAAGCCAAGAAAATGCGTTAATACAGCCGGGGACATAGCGGCAACAAAGCTTTACCGCACACGTGCGACGCGTACTACTAAGGTAATAAAGAATGAATAGGCTACCTCGCCTCTCTTTGAATAAGAAGACTAAGGAAGGAGCATAATGCTATCCATGTATTCATGCATGGTGGACGGAAAAGCCACCATAAAAGCTCTCTAGGGTGGGGATCCTTGACAGTTCTGTTTGACGATTCATTTGACACATTTGAATTTGATTTGAAATTTTGTGGATTTGTCAGTCTTTACAGACTTATTTTATGTTATTTATTATTTATTCTACTACTGATAGTTGTATAAAGGTAAGTAACTCTAGATGGAAATTGTGGCAGAACTTAAATTAACAGTGACACTATCGCGATTTATCGAAAAAGACTCTAAAATAGTTGGTTGTGTAGCGTGCGGTAGATCTCGGCAAAAATTGAGTGAAATAATGGAACAACTTTTCGCTAGTAAGTGACTATATAATATACATACGTGTAGTAAACCGATCATATATTCCGATCATTAAATTAACTAAATTATATATTTTTCTTGCATTTTAGCTTTTATTTATTACTTGTCAAAGATTAGATGTCAAAGAATTTAGATACGTTAATTTGACTTACCTGCTTCAGTAGCGTATCGGATGTTTGTGTTAATAAATACTTATTATAACTTATCTATTTTTATTAGAATTATATATTTTTTATAACAATTTTAATAACTACCAACATTTATTCACAACGTAAAATAAAACAACAAATTATTTAGTCTACCCCACGTCTACCCTACATCATAGTTTTACATTTTTTAAATAAAATTAGAACGACACTGATAAACCGGAATTTAAGTCGGCCATATTTGAGGCCCATCGCGGTGTACCTAAGATTTTTGCTATGCTCCTTCCTTAGTCTTCTTATTCAAAGTCGCCTCTAATAGGTGTTGCCATATTGTAAAGAACTTATCCTTTTTAAACAGTATCCGACTTATAATTTAGTAGAATAAGGACTATTTAATACATCTATGGAATATTAAGACCTACTTTATTAAAATGTAGTATTAATATCTCAATATATGTGTATAACAAGAAAAAAAATATTGATAATATTAAAGACGTGACAACATAGGCTGGATGAGGAAGGCTCGGTCGACTGTACCCAGAAGTAAACGTGTACAAAAAAGATTGTTTGGCCGCGTTGAGATGTAAATAGAGTAGTCTATATTTTATTTTAAGTCTATGGTTACTACCAAAAAACCGCTGCGGAGGTACTTCAACATACCTCGCCGCTATCACCATGGCCCAGAGAAAACAATAAACAAAAGATGTTATCGTGGGGACTATAATAAAAAAGAAGAACGAAATTATTGGGCAACTTACAGTAAGTTTAGCCATGAAACATACTGGAGCCTCGCACCTCGCCACGCACCTATAGTGCCTATATGTTCAGCGCGATGCTTCCTAGGAACCAAAAGTTTTGTTTTTTGCGAGAAGCGGACGCGGATGCCTGAAACTTTACATTTGATTGGTCGGTTTAGGATCACAATTCGTTGAGCATATGTGTCGAACTAGAGTCGGGTGGAATAAAATGAATGTTCACAATACTAGTATTTAATTTATCACCAAAAATGTAATTACCTTGATTCTACAGGGTCCGGCAATAGTGCGTCGGGCATCTGCAGCTCCTATAATAAAAAACTTATGAATTTTGTAGTCCTGACATAAAGTATGTATTAGGATGTATTTGAGGAAAATATTTGAACTTCTAAAGGGTGGCTCAAAAAAGTGTGAGTGGATCGCGAATATTTTTTTAAATGGAACACCTATATACAGAGTGGCGCAACTCATTCGACTCGGTTGATTATACGAAAACGGAAATATGTAGAAACAAAATTTTTATGGGCATATGTGGGAAGATCATGCGCATAATTTAAAATTATTTTGAAATGTACAGAGTATGTCAGAACTAAGATTTACACTAAAGTTATATTTTTTCTTATGGAACACCCGGTATTTTATTTCATATTTGGATTCTTGGACACAAAATAACGCCTTTATTATAAGGGTTATTATATATTAATATGTTTACAAGCTTTGGTTTTTGAGATATTTAAAGATATTTAAATATGCATGCTACAATGGAATAAATTATGAACACCCTGTGCATTACTTTTTAGAATTAATTATTGTGCTGAGTTTAAAGATAGAGAAATAAACTTTACTGAAAAATTGTATTGCTCACTTAAATTTATACAGGGGTACCAAAAATTGATGATTTATTTTAAATATTTATTTTACATAAAAACCTTGTTATTTCAAATACGACAACCTGTATTTTTTCAAATAAATCGAAACAGATTCAAATGCTCTTTCGAACTATTATTAGGGTAGCCTATACCTATCTAGCTCAGATTTTGAATAAAGAGCAATTTTTCAATAAAATGGCAACAAAGAGGGCTGATGTCATGGCAAGTTTCTAGTGACAGTAGCTATTTTCAAAATCGAAATTAGTTTATGGACTTTATTTATTTATAGCAAGTACTTTAATCGCTAGTTGATTAAAAAAAGTATACCATTAATATTGCAAATTATATTTTATCCTCTCATACTCGTAGTATATGTCTTTTTAATTTTTTGATGATGTAACGAGCACTTTGTTTACTCACTTGTTCAGTCGAAATGCTTGAATCCATTTTTGCTTTAGATCAAATCGGTGTGAGAAACTATGAAGCTATAAAATTTTGTTTCAGGAGAGTTGAATATCCGGGAAAGTTGAGTTATTGAATGTAATTGCACCCAACAACGCCCTAATTGCGCTCTCTTTTATGCGTTAACATTTTTTCGGCAATTTTATTAACATTTGACATTGTCACAACACAGCACGACGCCGACGTCTAGTTCGAATTCTTTTTCATTTATTTTTTACTACCCGAAACAGCGTTACATCACACAAACCTGGTATCTGAGTGTTTTATCTTTTTTGTCTCAATAACTGCACTAGCAAAAAATTAAAATGCTTATATATTATAACAAAACCACGATTTCAATATTATTCTATGCGATCAACATGACGACGCGGCGATAGGGATAATTTCTGATTTTTGCCATTGACTCGCTGCGGTAGGAATTTGTTGAAATCAACTGAAATGCACAAGCCTATACTAATTAATAACTACTATAACATAAACTGGTGCTTAATAAAACGGCGATGGTAAATGTTTCAGTATGCCTACGCGCACCTATTTGCCGTTTTAAAACAGTGCGCGTAGGATTCATCGCGGCTACCATCCTGGCGAGCAGCGCGGCCAGCATCTTGGCGAGCATCGCATCGAGATGCCTCACTATGTTTGTGCCCTAAGGCACGCTATTTATTTTATTCAAAATAATCAACATTTAATTTTTTTGCAGTTTTTTTTGTAACTACTATTCTATCTTCACTTCCCCTAATCATTATATTAATCTAATATACTTAATTTTATTTTAGGACTTCAATTATTTTACTGATAGAGATTTCTATCGTAAACCAAACGAACCAAATTTGGAAAATCTATTCCTTGTCGGCCACCACAAATGGAAAAATCAAAGACAAAAAATGTCTCCCACATTCACAACTGCCAAATTGAGGTTAATGTTTGATACTATAGTAGATTGTGCAGACGGTATGGTAAAGCTAGGCGAGGAATCTTCTGAAAATAAACAGGATGTTGTTATCAAAGACGTACGTACATAATTATAGAACACCATAGCACAGATTAGGTATCCTATAAGTATACAGATAAAAATCTTGTCCCTAATTCGTGGTACGAAAATTGTTTTTATGACGATGTGCAAACGAGTCAAATTTCCTGTGCGCAAAAATAAACTCGCGTAAAATAACAATAAACAGCGTAATAGAGAGATATCGCTAAACCGAATAGCGTGCATGGACGTTAATAAGGCCAGGTGTTATTTCCTTTACGTGAGGTGGTATTAACTCTCTTCATTTATACTTATCGGATCGGAAAGAATTCTGATCGCGTCGCGTCCGCTATTTAAACTTAACCTAACTTTGAATTTAAAACTTTGAAATTGTTTTGTTTACTAGGTATTTTAAAACTAAAGGGCTAAAGTGCTTATTTCCAGTGCTTCATTGTCCAACGTCTGCCAGTGGGTTTAGGGCAACAAATTCTCTTAGAAGGGCTAAGTCGTCATCTGCTGTAAACCTAAGACTCTTTATAGGTTCTTTAGTATTGGAAGAGGTGGAATCCATATTTTGGGCCATATTTATTTAATTAAAACTAATCCCAGCTACTTATATATCAAATTATCTAATAAGACTAAAGCAATAATTCAAAACAATTCAAACATAACCTAAAATAAAAGATCTCGCCGGCCGGTTCCGGTTGTCAAATACCCGCACATGCCCATTTAAGCAATTTTAAACGTTATCAGAGGTTTGGTGTAATAATGAAAGAGCGCTTGGTGTAATTGATCCGCAAATTACGTCAGGCGGTAACGTTATTAGCGGGTGTTGCGTTGACTCGCGCATATCGTAACCATGATAAGGTACGCGTAAATACTGGATGACGCTATTCGGTTTTCCGATATATCTCTAATAACTGTGCCGGTCAGGCGCTGTGCACAATTTTAGAGGCCATAAGTGGGCGTGCTATGTGCGCAAACTAGTCACCTAACTAGTGCCCGATTCCGAAAATTGGAACCGCGAAAAACAATAAAGAAAAAACAAAGATTATAATCTGTTAATCTGTGACCATAGGTACGTATATAGAAAAGAGTACCTTTTGTTTAAATATTTCAAGAGATATACTACCCAGTATACCGGTAGATATCAGTAGCGATTAACATCGCTTTCAGATGGAGCGGAGCGTCCACGACTACGAGCAAGTACCATGACTTTATATGAACAATTTTACATAAGTCGCGTATGCCTAGTCCGGATGAGCTATCTTGAAAAAACACCCGCGCGGACGGTCCGCCCCATCTCAAAGCGCTGGAATATAGTTCTGTTTCAGCGCTTTCAGATGGAGCGGAGCGTCCGCGACGGACTAACTAAAGGGTGATTCACGGTACACCGGACCGTGCTCGAGCCGGGCACGTCCCGTGAAGTAGACACCGAGCCGCGTTCGAACCTTCAATATATGCTAAACCGAGTGGACAACGGGGTTCATGTCCGTGCCCATTATATTCTAGAAAACAGTGTTGCCGCAGTGGTACATTTGTACCAAATTTGATACTTTTAATTCTATTTGGTACAGTGGTACTACATTTTCAAATCCAGGATGATTCGGTACAATAATTATTTCCCACGCGCATCGAAAATGAATAGATATTTAATAATTATCGTCGTTGATATTGCATTAAACGCGCTTACCGATACCATTCGGAGACAATCCGCATTAATTAACGACGTATTATACACGTTGTAATGTCTATAGGGTTGCCTATAATAAATAACCCGAAGAAAAAACTTAAAAATTTGCTGTTTCTAACATGCTTCTATATTTGCGTTTTTTTTAATAAAATTTAAGTTTTCCAAGTATCGTGTGTACTATTAGAATTACTTACATTTCTTCAACCTATACATACTTATAATTGGGTTTTCTGAATTTCTATTTCATGTTTTTCGTCTCGATTTGTGTCTTTCTCCAGGAAGTTTTTTTATGTAGAAATTTCTGAAGAATTCACAACGACCAAACCAGTTAAAGTCATTTGCAGATGTATTTTGTTGTGTTTTTAAAGAATTGTACCAAAGTGGTACATTTTTAGTTTATAATGTGGTACGCGCTAAAAGTTGGGTGCGGCAACACTGCTAGAAAACAGTCGCTATAGGCCGTAGACGAACGAAGTATTTAGCCGCGGCGGCTCATTTATGTTTGCCGCAACGGGGCCGGAACAGCCCAGCGGATCCGAGGAAAAATGTACACCGACATTTCTTGGACGGGGCACGGACGCGTTCCGGCGAAGCTCGGACCGTGCTCGGCTTAGCATGATTGTATAAGTATAAATAACATTTGACAATGTTTGGCCGTGCCTTCACCGTCGCACGGCTCCGGCCCGTCACGGTGTACCGTGAATCATCCTTTAAACGGAAGCACTAAAAGAGATGCAAATACAGAAAAAATCCGGTGGCTCTCAAAATTTTTCCACAAAAAGATTGTTTTTTTTAATTTTCAAACTTAAATAACTCTGTTATTTTGGACTTATTTGAAAAATGGTAAAGAGAAAATATGTTTCTTTTATCGAGATCTACCAGCCCTCAAAATATTTGCACTTATTTAAGACTCACCCTGTATATGTTTTTCAGCCTTTCATAAAAAAAAATATTAAAAATGCAAGAACTGTCCTGAAATCAAAACTACATTAGGTATTTGCTTTAGATGGTCTGTACTTTTTTTGCTATAAATGTAGTAATCGTAAATAATACAGGATGTTCAAAATTCAACGCCAAACTATCTAAAATATAAACTAATTTTACTTTTACGTTTTTTTTAATGGAACACCCTATATATACCGGGTGATGCATCGTCGAGCGGGACATAGGAAATCCCATGTCAATTTTAATGGGGTCAATTATTGGCTTCCCTAATTATTTTAGAGAATAAATCTATTTAGGTTTATTGAAGAGCACTAAAACCCACATTCAAAAGAATAACTTTAGATATTTTTGATTAGCCCGTTTACGAGTTATCGCCGATTTCTTTTTAAATATTTCTCCTTTCTTATGGCCCTGTATTTACTTATGAGCACCAGTCAAGGTAAAAGATAACTGTCAAATGAAGTTGTCATTTTAGAAATTTATCTATTTAGTGCTTTATTATTATTATTAAAAACTCATACCTACATCGAAAATATTAGCCATGAATTACACTACCGAAGAAAAAATATTAATGATATGGATATGGTATTATCAAGGAAATAGTTATCAAAAGGTGTCGGACATGTATGCTGCTCTGTATCCGAATAGACCGATACCTGGAAAATCTGCAATCGCAAGGAATATCCAGAGATTTGAAACCAAAGGTACCCTAATAAATAACTGCAGATGTGAAGCAAGGTAGGAACAAAGAGAAGATGCGAATGATACCGACTTGGAAGTTTTATTGTGCGTGGAAGAGAACGATGGAAAGATCCGCACAGGGAAACTTGAGGATGAAATAGGAATAGATCACACTACGGCGTTTCGAATTTTGAAACGACATAAATACTATTCCTTCAAATATGAAAAGCACCAAGAGCTACGAGATGGGGACGAAATACGGCGGCAGGCGTTTTGTTTTGATATGATGGAAAGAGCAAATAGGGATAGGGAATCTTTAAAAAACATATGTTTTACTGACGAATGCACGTTTACCTTAAATAATGATCCCAATATTCAAAATTATCGATATTGGAACAAAGAAAACCAACACAGGTTTGTCGAAACAAGGACGCAATATCCACAGAAAGTAAATGTTTGGGCAGGGATATTCGGACAGAATATTATCGGACCATTATTTCTTACGCGAAATTTAAATGCAGAATATTATTTGGAACTACTCGAAAATCATATTTTACCTGCTTTACATGATGCCGCTATGCGCTAGGGAAAATCAGGAAGTTTGGTACCAAATGGATGGCTGTCCGGCACATAGTACCCTGACTGTTCGGGAATATTTAGACATTTTTTTTTATTTTTTCGGGAAACGTTATTGGCCTAAATCATACAGTAAATTGCCAGCTAGGTCTCCTGATATTTCGCCAAATAATTTCTTTCTCTGGGGCCTTTTAAAAAACAGGATATACAAGGATAAAAAATACCCAAATCTAGACGAGTTAAAAAATGCCATTTCTGCCGAATGCAATAGAATTTCAGTTTACCAACTAGCGAATGTAAGAAGAGAATTTTATGATCGCCTGTGTTATTATCTAGCAGTCGATGGAGGAATATTTGAACATCTTAAATCCTAAAGTTCTAACAATTTAATAGTACCTAAATTAATAAGTTATTGAATATTGTAATAATACTATAATTAACCTTGTAATTGATTACTTTATTTTATTTTAATTCATATTAATTTGTATTTATAAATACTTCTTAATCTTTAAGATTTCCGATGTAGGTATGAGTTTTTAATAATAATAATAAAGCACTAAATAAATAAATTTCTGAAATGACAACTCCATTTGACAGTTATCTTTTACCTTGACTGTTGCTCATAAGTAAATACAGGGCCATAAGAAAGGAGAAATATTTAAAAAAAAAATCGGCGATAACTCGTAAACGGGCTAATCAAAAATATCTAAAGTTATTCTTTTGAATGTGGGTTTTAGTGCTCTTCAATAAACCTATATAGAATTATTCTCTAAAATAATTAGGGAAGCCAATAATTGACCCCATTAAAATTTACATGAGATTTCCTATGTCCCGTCCGACGATGCAACACCCGGTATATCATGTATGACAAATCTGAATGAAACATTTTGTTTCAGCTGCTAGAAAAATTTACCATTGACGTTGTGGGATGTACAATGTTCGGACTTAATTTTAACTGTCTACTGTCAGAAAATCCAAAACTGAGGGACTTCTCTAAACTTGCAGGAAACCCTCCAACAATTTTAAAGATTCTGCTGTTGCTTACGCGAATATTCCCTAAACTATCAAGCTTTTTAGGAATTAAGACATTTCCAGATCATTTGATGAGGTTCTTCGTGGAGTTGATGAACGATACTGTCAGTTACCGAAAAACTAACAAAATCAAGAGGTCAGATTTAACACAAACTTTGATTGATTTAGAAGAAACTACTAGAAATGATCCTAATCCTTTTAGTTATGGGGATCTTACAGCTAATTTGATTGGGTTTTTCTTTGCAGGTAAATCATAGTACGAAACCTAGAATAAACTAAATAAAAATGAACAATTTAAATTTCTGTTTAAATGTATTTCAATAACTTAGACAGTATACAGGGTGTCCCAAGCTGAGCGTGCACCAGAAGTTTCTGGAGAACTACAATATTTAGATCGGGGATTTTTTGCAAATCATTGTTTTACAAAGCGATTATTTAAATTGGTACCCCATTTTTTATTACCTAATTAAATTCTCTGTAAAATTTTATGTATTTTAATGTCAAACACTCCATACCTGACATTAACTGTTTTTGAAAAAAAAAACATTTAAAATTTTTCTAGAAAAAAACTAAACATTAACACCAATAAAAGAAAATAGAGAATAAACAAAATGTGTCATCACACAATTTATTTTAAAAAAAAACGCATCTTGATATCTTCTTTCCAACCGAAGATAACCTGGATATCTCAAAAATAGTTAATATCAGGTATAGTGTTTGATATCTTTATAAAATTTTACAACGAATTTATGTATGTTATAAAAAAATTGGGTACCCATTTAAAAAAGGAGAGTTGCTGTCAACTTCCGGAAGTGTCGCCATATTAAAAATATTTTTAATCGATAGATCTCGTTGTGAAACAATGACGTGCAAAAATTCCCCGTTCTAGATATTGTAGCTCTCTAGAAACTTCTAATGCACGCTCACCCTAGAACACCTTGTATCGTATGATTAGTTGGCTGGGAAATGACGATTGATGACATTTCGCATATAAATTTACATATAAAATGACAGCGATCTTCATTTCATAGCCATTGTTGACGCCGTTTTTTTTTCGATCAAACGGTATATTGAATCGGAATAATTAAAAATCCTTTTAATTATTAAACACATTTTTTTTAATTCATTAATATATTTTCTAGGATCAGATACTTCATCAAGGACAATACAATTTACTCTATATTACTTAGCACAGGAAAGTGACATTCAGGATAGAGCGAGGAAGGAGATTCATACAGTTTTAAACAGACATGGGGGCAAATTGACTTATGATGCGCTTAACGAAATGACATATGTAAATCAAATTATAGATGGTAATATTATTTTCCAACAAACTAGTATTAGTATATTTATAGTTTTTGATACATACTTTCAGTGTTTAAAATGTCATTTTATACAATACCTACTATAAAAAGAGAAAACTAAAACATTGTATCACAGTATGTACCGTATGATCGAGAAAAAACGGCGTCAGCGTTGGAAATGAAGATCGCTGTCATTTTATATGAAAATTTATATGGGAAATGTCATCGATCGTCATTTCCCAGCCAACTGGACGCCGTTTTTTTTCGATCATACGGTATTAGCTAAAAAGTAAAGTTATTATTCTTCCCCTTCTTCAATTTACAATAGTGCCTAGTAACAGCAAATTATGTCAAAAAATGTAGTTAGTGCTACAATTTTTATCAAAGATTTACATTTAAATTTCAACGAGTACATACAATCTGAATATTCTCTGACACAAATTGTGAGAATTATCACAAGACTTGTTCGCTATTTTCGTTTAAAATCAAGAATATTCAACTATTTTGGAGATCTTGTGAAAGAAATAAAAGGCACAATATTATGTCATCTTAGACGCAACATGCAACAGTCTTTTCTACTGTGGGATTTATTACCATTTATTTCTTCCGGGTTTTTAATAGTAAATACAGGGTGGACCACTGAAAACTTACAATGGCTATAATTTTTAAACCAAAAAAGACATCAAAAAAATAAAAAATACCGAGGGGGAATACATATGACGTATTTTTTGAACCACCCCGACCTACCCCTTAGGAGGCACCCCTACTCACTTGAAAATCTTAAATGGCAACACCCCACTTGTGGCGTCTTTTTGGAAAGCTCTTGAAAAATGCTAACTGATAATCATAAAGTTTTTAGGGTGAAATTGAAAAACTATCCTTACACGAACAATTAGGTGGACATTAATGAAAAAGGTTTTTTTTTAGCGTAAGTTACAAATTGGGACCCAGTTAAATGACGCAAATGAAGTATTTTTCAAACCACCCCAACCCACCCCTAGGTGGCACCCCCTGACTTCTAATCTCAAGATAGCGATACCCCACTTGTGAAAGCTAATTGAAATTGCTAAACGATGGTCATACAGACTTCAACTTAATTACTGGTTAGTAACAAGAAATGTAGGTGTGACAATTTGAAAGAAATTTAAAATGATAATTTATTTTAATAATTGCTCAAAATGACAGCTGTTTTGTTCCATACAAAAATACAAAGGATTTTCAAATTCTTCTCTCACTTTTTGGAAAGTCTCTCTCGGAATATTTCGACATGCTTCAGTTCTCCGCTGCCGCAATTCTTGCAACGAACCTGGTTTTGTCTTGTAGACTATGGATTTAGTGTAACTCCAGAAGGAAAAGTCTAAAGGAGTGAGGTCAGGTGACATTGGCGGCCACTCGATTAGACCCCTTCTGCCAATCCATTGCCTTGTATAATATTTATCCAACCACCGCCTTGTGACAATAGAATAATGCGAAGGGGCTCCATCTTGCTGAAAGTGTATGAGGTCTTCATTAAGAGTTATAATAAATTTCTTTGTACCAGCTTTTTTTTCTCGCAATGGTTCGTGGATACAAAAATAATTCATTCTATTGATTTTGGCACGTTTTGACATTTTTTTTTTATTTTTAGGCTCTATTTTTTTCGTTCTTTTTTATGACAGTTTTTCAGCATTTTTTATACGCTTTCCAAAGAGGTGTCACAAGTGGGGTATCGCTATATTGAGGTTAGAAGTGAGGGGGTGGCACCTAGGGGTGGGTCGGGGTAGTATGAAAAAAACCTCATTTAGCTGGGTCCCAATTTGTAACTTATGCTGAAAAAATAACTTTTCTCATTAATGTCCACCTAATTTTTCGTGTAAGGGGTAGTTTTTCAATTTTACCCTAAAAACTTTATGATCATCGTTTAGCATTTTTCATGGGCTTTCCAAAAAGGCGCCACAAGTGGGGTAGGTCGGGGTGGTTCAAAAAATACGTCATATATGTATTCCCCCTCGATATTATAGAAACGGTATTTTTTATTTTTTTGATATCTTTTTTGGTTTAAAAATTATAGCCATTGTGAGTTTTCAGTGACCCACCCTGTATAATGAACTATTTTACAGGTAGGTTCTAAGGCAGGGGGCTCGGCTGGCAATCGCCACCTTGGCTATGTGGTCAGTTCAATCCTGAATTAATAGCACACACATGAAATGATGTCTTAACGTTATTACGTCTTAAAATATTACTAAATATATTAACTACTACACAAACTAACTATTTTAGAGGCTTTAAGACTATTTCCACCACTCATGACCTTAAGTAGAATATGCAATCAAGATTACACCTTCAAAGGTACAAATTTCACACTGGAAAAGGGAACTCCTGTGGTTATATCCATAATTGGTTTACACCACGATCCAGATTTGTTTCCTGATCCAGAAAAATTCGATCCTGAAAGATTTAGCCCAGAAAACAAGCACAAAGTTGTGCCTTACAGTTACATGCCGTTTGGTGATGGGCCTAGGATATGTATAGGTGAGTCAATATTACTTTTTCATTTTAAGAAATGTTAAATAGTAGTGGGTATTTTATTCTGTAAACTTTAGCAGTGGCCATAAAATTCTAATATAGTAACTAGATTATTATGGGAATATACTGAGACTTAATTAGCATAAATATGAGACTATTATTGGAAGAAGTAAAATTTATTTGATGCTATTCAGACATTTTGCGCGTGACAGAATAGGAAATGTTAAATATTAGTGGCTATAAAATTAGAATATAGTAATAGTACAGGAGGCAGTGAAGATTTTCGGTACTTATTTACCCAGTCAACAAACATCGATAGAATTATTCGGTATCCTGTTCTAAGCAAATTTCATATATACCGTGTGGTGCATCGGAACACGGGACAAGAACACTTTTCTCAAAGTTTTGACGTAGGTTAAAATTATCAAATGATACGTTAAATTTCAAGCATAGGAAAATAAGGGTTATGGATTTCAAAAATCTGTCAAATTTTTTACATCCGCAAATTTTAAGCCAGACCAGAGGGCAGACTGACTTTCCACCACTTGGGATGTGCCGGACATCAGACAGTTATTTCCAGTAATAAAATGATTTACAATCAATGTCAAATATTTCTGACTGGAAAAATAAAGTGGACTTTTTTTATTTTATTTAGAATCCAAAATTTTTAGCCAGACAAACTGTTATATGTATACAGACCGGACCACTGTAGTAGTAACATAGGCAGAACTGGACGAATTAGCGTATACCTTATAGCGTATATATAATATAATAGGTAGATATGTGATAAGAATGTTTCAGGAATTTGTATTTATTCGTTTAATAGCAAAACGAATACATAGATTCTCGCGACAGTTCTCGTGTAAAATTTATTTTTTAAGTAAAATAATGGATGTTTACGAAGTTCGTGAGAAAATTCAAATTGTAAAATGGTATTTCCAAAATAGGTCTTATCGGGATATACAAACAATTTTTCTACAAACTTTTGTAAAAAGGCCAATTCCATCTTTACCTACTGTATCAAGAGTTATTAATAATTTTGAAACATATGGGTGCGTGTTCCCACAAAAACACAAAAAGCCTGATGTGTTGATTAATGAAGAACAGGAGTTAAAGCAAGTGTTCATTTCTGCTACCGCGGATCAAAATCCCACGTTTTCAAGTAATCAAATTGCTGAGGTGGTTGTCCTGCCCACAATGCCCGTATTGTTCAAGAATATTTGAACAATACTTTTCCCAACCCTTTAATTAGTGGATATGGAACTATTTTGTGGCCCGCTAGATCACCAGATCTTTCTCCCAATGATTTATTTTTGTGGGGTTATGTTAAGTGTATGGTTATGTATCCAAAGTCATAATAGGACTAATAATCTGGATGAACTTCAAGTAAAAATATGAGAGACTTTCCAAACTATTAGCCCTAATATGTTAGCCAATGTCAGACGGGGATTTTACGACCGCCTAGGCTTCTGTCTAGCACAAGAAGATGGTCTTTTGAACACTTGTTATAACTTTTTTATTTACCTCGGTGTTTTCTATAGGTACGGATAAGCAGAATTGCCAGATATATTTTATTTTGACGGATAGCAGAAAACGTATCTTCACCTATATATAACAGCATCTATTAGATAAATTAAACTTTATTCCCCAGATATCCTATCTGGTGCCCAACTGCCAAATAGTGCTTATTTGTCGGATAACAATTTGACGCATGAGCAAAGGCATGAGGAGATATTGATTTTATTTGATATTTGACAAAATTGCTTAACATAACCAAGACATTGTTATTATTGAAGATTTCGTTTATTCCAATAAATTCGATTTTAGATTATTTGGAAAAGACTTACCTATTCTGAGTATGTAGGCTATAATCGTATGGAGTATAAACACCCATAAACACATTGAAATGGTGCAAAAAACGATTGTTGCTAGTGCCGGACTTTGTAAGGACTGTTACAAAATAAAGAGAGTCCCTGTTCTGTTAGATCATCAGAACGAAGAGAATGCATTAAGTTAGGATAATAGTGATAAAACAGTAATTTATAAATTATTTTATTTAATTCCTTTCAATTATAAACCATTACTACATATTATATAAAATGCTAATGTTTATCTGTGTCGTCTCTACTGAAGTAACGACTTGCTCTAGAAAGTTGCTTTTTTTACTAAAAGATAGTTAATTGGCTCGTCTAAAAACTGTCGTCGCCGGATTTTTTGTTTTTCATTTAATTAAAAAAAATAAAAAGTATTTTTTTTTCCTGATGTCGTGGCGGATGCGCTAGGCTTTAACTAGTTTTTAATAAAGCTCTAAAGTAGGTAAAAAATAAAAAAACTTTTTAAATCAAACTATTTATTTCATTTTTAATTCGCATATCTTAATTCATTAATATTATAACAGGAACCTTATAAAACCTGTTATTCAATTCACATTTGCTTTTATTTCTTTTGTGTTACAATTTTAGTTTAATTTCTTGCACTATGTACCTTATACCGAATGATCGAAAAAAAAACGGCATCCAGTTGGCTGGGAAATGATGTTCGATGATATTTCCCATATAAATTTACATATGAAATGACAGCAATCTTTATTTCATAGCCATTGCTGACGCCGAATTTTTTTCGATCATACGGTACATCTCTTCTCCATGCTGTTTTTTAAGTAACTCTCTAGCTAAACCTTGCTAAAACATCTGTATTGTGGTCCTTTGAATTCCAGTTAATTCAACTTTGTTTAGACAAGATTTTTCCTTTATTTTTTCTTTTTTTTCTGAAGTTCCATCACTTTGAGTTCTTAAAAATAAAAGTAATATGACAAAATTGTTTTTATTTAATTTTTTTTATTAAATAATTTGTACATATAATGTGTAAATGTAGCAATTATTATAGGTACTATTCATTTATTATTATTAAGACAAAAGTATAAGTGCATTTATCTATTTTATAAAATAAAAACTCAACTTAATTACTATCATTGATGCTATCCTACCTATTTCTTTACTATGAGAAGCCCTAGAACAACATATTTGTTATTACTAACAGTCTTATGCTATTTTTAATTTTCAATATTAATAACTTACCAGATGGCGGTTTTAGGATTGGTTTATAAATCTCTGCTTGCACTTTACCTGCTTCTTCCATATTTTCTATTATCAATTGTACTAAAATGTTAATATAATAAATATAACAGAATATCATGTAATTAAACTATAAATTACTTACAGATTATTTTTTCTTGTTTTAATTTCTTATAAATCGCATTCCATCAATAGATCTATTGCACCACCACCACTGCTGAAATTGAATTATCTTTCCCTTTTTCCATAAAGGTAAATTTAAATAGCCTATACCATAATAGGACTAGTTGGAGTTGAACACAAAATATATTTTAGTTGAATTTTATTGTTTTTATTTTCATTTTGACGATCTTTTGACAACTGAACAATAACCTCACTTTTTAATCTAACGATTTGAAATTCCGAGTTTCTGTCTCTGTCTGTTGTATCGACTTTTCATATATAACCATCTCAATTTCAGATATCTTATATTGGCAACACTTTCTCTACGGAGTGTCTACCGGTCCGTAGGCGGCCGTCCTCCAAATTGTTATCTATTGGATTATTTTGTATGAAAATACCCAAATGTTATATCCTATAGATATCAGGCTCTAGATTGTTTATCTTTTAGATGGTTATTTGTTAGATAAAAGTTATTTATTTATAATCAAAGAGACCGCGCCTTAGAGTAATATTTAGTTTTTGGGTTTAGAGAATTTATTTATTTTAGCTTTCGTCAGACACTCCAAATAATAATATTTATATTTTCATTTTAAATGTTACCTTAAGTGAAGGTAAACACTTAAAATGAAAATAATAAATACTGGCACCCTCGTCGCGTCGTATTCCTAGCTGTCTGTCACGACCGACCCGTCCAAGCAACTGCAACTGGGTATCGCCTGACCAGCCGACTAGCCGCAGGAATCTCGAGTACGAACGCAAAACGGTAAAACGTGTAAATTCGTCCCGCAACTTGCTATGTTAATAGTAGCCTGGTCTTCTCTGTATTCACCCACTGGGAAAATGAAAAGTATGTACAAAAAAAATTCACTGCTTCCTGAACTATAACTAAATCGATACAAAAATCTTATATCATGGAAAATATACTGAAACTTAGCAGACACTTAGCAGAAGAAGTAATCTTTATTTGATGATATTGAGACGTTTGGCGCGTGACAGAATAGTCTCTGCATCATGCGTTATACCAATCTCAAACAGTCGTTATCCTAAAATATCCAGAATTTACAATTTCCTGTTTTAGGTCGTCGATTTGGTCTTATGCAGGCTGGTATTGGATTGGTACGAATATTAAAAGATTTCAAAGTTGACATCAGTTCAAAAACAAAACTCCCTTTGGTTATCAAGCCGGGAGGGATATTTATAGAAACTACAGAACCATTGTACTTAAAATTAACAAAATTATAAAAGAAATAAAACATTTTTAATGTATAGATATAAAAATATGGTATTGTATATTTTATTAATTAAATCCAATAAATTGAACGCTTTTTTAATAAAAGACAGTATAAGTGAAAATATTTTATTGTGTTTGTTTTAGAATTTCGTCTAAGTATAAACAAAAAAAAGTATATAAGTAAATTAAGTATAGTCTATAAAATGAATAACTTTGAATTTTGACCGTTATTTTTTACCAACATGACAAATATAAAATCCCTCTGTCAAAAAAGTTACTGATATTCTTTGAATTGAGTGCCTGAACGAATCAGATAGGTAACTCTTTTTACTTTCATGAAATAAAAAAGGAAAATAATAAAATAAAACAAGTGACAGTTCTTCCTCTTCTTGCAAAAATCAACACTAAATGACATAATTGTCAAAAGTAAAATGTCATCAGCTTTTGACATTTCTAAATATCAGACCAATGCCGTCTCTAATAGAACAGCATCGGAGCGAGATTTATGACGTCACGCTACTTAGATACTACGGATTAATAAATATGTTGTAGAATACATGGAAAACAATTATTCCTCGTATTTTTGGTTTGTATTTTAAAAACGATATAGTTTACATGAAATATACTTAATGTACAGTTAATAAATACAATATAAAGGGAACTAAAACAACTTTCGTTGCACGTCATCAATGATACCATGCGTAGTTAAATACTTTGGCAAATAAACTATGAACGATGATACAAATGCAGCAAATGTTTTACAATATACAAATAATGAATAGGTACATAAGATAATGGGTTGTAAAATATATTTTAAATTTTGGGGTTTGAAAATCGATCTAATTTAACAAAAAAACATTCAATATATACTATAGTGGTGTATTATTATTTGCATTCACAAAATTTATATGTATAGTATTTTTAATACCTATTTAGAGGTACCAGCCGTTTTAGTAACTTAACGTATGCGGCTTCTTGCACCATCTACACCCGCATGAAAAAAATTAGGTTATGACCTTGTCATGTCAAATGCTTCACATATTTCTTATTGCATTGGAGAGTGACTTGAAATTTCATATTATCAGTGGCGGTTTATACTGCTAATAAAATTAATTTTATGAAATTCTAAAGATGTTGACATAATAAAAAAAATATAGAAGAAGCGCACTAATTTTAAAAATATTGTTTTATTAATCCAGATACCGAGTTTTCTTAAAAATACCTATATTATTTAAGATCCTCGATTTAAGGCTTATACCAAAGAATAATTATATTTATAAGTTTAATGTAGTAACTATATACTTCAAAACGATTTAGGATCCTTGATTTAAGGCAATTCAATAAGCGTCTGAAGCACCAAAAGCATAATAAAATAATATAACAAGAAGTCGAGCAAGGTAATAATATTTATTTTAAGGGCCTGTTTAAGTAAAAATTCTACAGAAAACAGGTGTAAAGAGCTACTTTAGCAGCATATATTTGTTCAAAATAATATCTTTAATCTGATTCCATGACATTTCCAATAACTCGTTTTCCATCCCGTTTTTGAAATGAAAACTCCATTTTTTTAATTCCCAAATATAACGAACTTTTGGAAATCTTAGTTTCTGGAGACTCTTCGATAAATTGCAGGAAAATAGTTTCTACTGTGATTTTCCTTTCGCGCATACATTTTGTAAATTACTTCCCTCAAACAATGTAGGGTATTCTTAGTAATTCGGATTTTGCTCCGGGAAACGCTTGCAGACATATTTCTTCTAAATTCGAAATCTGTAGCTCTGTTTGGTTTTTCTAGATTATATAATGTGCATTCTGGGACTTTTAGTGCTTCGGATGCTTTTTGAATTGCCTTAAATCGAGATCCTAAATCGTTTTGAAAATAGTTTACTACATTAAGCATAAGTTTTTTGGATTCATCAGAATATCGCATTTTTATATCTTATTTTGCGTTATGACATTAACATGAAACGTAACTTCAAAAACGTGACATCTAACAAATTATTAATAATCGACGTTCATTTTTGTTGGTAATTTTTTGTTTCAACTGATTTATTAATAATAAATAAGGATGGTGTTATTCTAAATGGGTATTAAAAATACTATACATATATTTTGCAGGTATCAATGTTCGAAAAATTATATTTGCAAATAATACAATATCATAGAAAAAAATGCGTTAGCGATGGCTATGAAATAAAGATCTCTGTCATTTTATAATGTAAAATTATTCTATAAAATTTTTGATTTTCTTGGGATTTAGGTTCGGGAAAAACGCTGATTAAGTTTTCATTTGGTTCTTCATTATTTTTTGGTTTAAAAACGTTTCGGCTAACATTATAGCCTTCATCAGTGTTTTCGTCATATAAAAAAATAGTGTCGAATATAATCCAAAAAATTGCATATAAAATATTCACACCACAAACCACATAATGTTTACTGCAATTAATAAACTAATATAAACTTGTCAAAAGATGACCATATTTTTTAAAATTATTATTCTTACTAAAATCATCTACATTGACTATGGGGTACGATTTCAGCCATAGTCAACATAAGGAATAATTATGTTAGCGTGACGTCATAAATCTCGCCTGAGGCTGTTTTTACCAAAAATAATAAATACAAGAAGAAGTGTCAAGTCAATGTTAAATTATGGAAACAGCGTGGCTGCCTGGGTAACTAATTTTCAGATATGGCGGCTGGGACATTTGACATGACATAGACATGACAATTTCAATATTATGAAATTTATTTCCGTTTCCGGTTTTTAATGGCGGGCTGTTCAGGAGGTTTAAATGAGGGTTAATATACTTTTTACTCTTTCTAGTAGTAAATAATACAACAAAATTACTCAAAAATATTTATTTGGAATTTAGAACAATGTAAATATGCAAATCAACACAATTAAAGAGCTATAAACCAATAAACTACTGTATCAATATCGAATATTTAAATAATATCAGAGATGCTGTGTTAAAGTGAATTAGTAAAGTAACAGTGCATTGACTTACAGAAACTTGAAGATACATAAATGTTTTCACAGCTTCACGGGCATAAAACTAAATAACTGGAAGCAGGAAAAAGGCAACCGGAACCCACACAAAACCTGGAATCAAAAAAAATATGTAAAAAACATAAATATAGGTACATAAGACTTTTGTGAATTAAATCAAACAGGACTTGAATGAAAATAAAATGAATAAAAAATATGATACATATACATCTAATACCTCATTTGTATTTTAAAAATAATCTACATACATAGATTTATAGATTATTGCTATGAAAATACATAATAGGTACCTATGTGATATGTAATTACGCATTTCTGTTCATCTTGTAGATAATTAATGTAGGCTAATAATATTTCAATAATCATAATTTACCTTGTGTAACTTGCTTTCAATTGCTCAAAATCTCCGATCAGTCTTTAAAGTAGATATACGGAAAAATCCTTGGCAAAGAATATCCCAAGATCCTTGGATCTAAAGCTAAAAAAATATAACAGTTAATATATTACCTATTTTTACATATAATATGGCCCATACCTACTACACGCAGAAACGTCGATTTCATCATTTTCTTTATGTAATTAATATCATATATACTTTATTAAAGTGTTAACAAGGAACTTTATATCAAAAAACATCTTTGTACTTATAAATTTCCGCCGAAATATCATAAACAAGCTTCTAATCAAATCTAAACGGCAAAAATTAAAATGGCGCTCGACCTTGCCAGAGGCCTCGGGAGTTGACACATCGCTGACACACAGACAAAAGAAGAGGACGCCGACGTGCATAAAAATGTTCCGTAACAGAGATTGACAGAAATCATATAGAAATATTCAGATTTTTGTCTAGGACAGTCTAGAAGGCCATGCTTTCCGCCTGGGTAAGACCGCGCCAGAACTGTTTCCAATTTTCCGGTTTACTGTCACCCCCCTGTGTTTTACTAGAGACGGCATTGCGTCAGCATGGCCGCAAGTTGCTAACCTAATAAAATTAACACTAGAAAAGCCCGCGGGAACTGTCAAATTCAAAGTTATTCGTTTCACAGACTATATCAATCAATAAGTATCAATTTCAGTAATTTTTACAAAATTTAATACTTTCAGACTACATAGTAAGTTCCATACAAAGCAAAATAGAAATTTTCTGCAAATTTTCACCCCTAATTTCACAAAGTAGCAGCGAGCGCAACCCAACGGCCCATAAAATGTGAGTCAGCTGCGTTTAGCGGAGATACACTTTTGGGTGAGCATGCTCCCCATATATGGCGTATCTCGAGAATCGGCGGATTGGTTGGATCAAATGGCACACTTAAGTTTAATAATTGGCAAGGACCGGGACGCATAAATCCTTAGCATAAATCCGAACCTGTGTCCGAATCCCTGCTGATTTCAGACCAGCAATGGTTGTGAAATAAACTAGGGTTTCTTATTAAATAATGCGTTTTATAGTCTTCCAAACACCAGCGCAATACAGACAAGGTGCGTTTGGTATCACGTTGGTGTTTATAAGCCTATATGCGCTGTAAGCCTTTCCAAATGCCAGTGCAATAATTAACCACAGCTAAGTTCGCATAGTTTATGAATGTTTTGAGGTTATATTTTTTTAGTTGTTCTAAGAAATGTTTACTGGCAATTAGTAGTACACAAAATGAGGGAAGAAGAAGTAGTTAAGTTATTTATCGTAAGTAATCACTTTGTGCGATGCATGTGCGATGATTATAAACTGTTAAAAATACCGTATGATCGAATAAAAACGGCGTCAGCGATGGCTATGAAATGAAGATCGCTGTCATTTTATATGTAAAATTATATGGGAAATGTCATCGATCGTCATTTCCAAGCCAACTGGACGCCGTTTTTTTTCGATCATACGGTACAACAACATTCAAGTTTAAATAAAAGTGACAAACCTAGCAAAAATAATACTTCTCGAAACCTAATGTGCCCTAATTTTACATTTTACCAATTATCTTATGTACCTATTCATTATTTGTATATTGTAAAACATTTGCTGCATTTGTATGGTTCATAGTTTATTTGTTGTACCAACGTAACAATAAGTGCCAGCTCTTGTATCATAACTGTACCGGT